ATCAACTTATATATATATATATGTATATGTATATATATATATATATATATATATATATATATATACAGAGAAAACGCTTGAGTTCGACTACCAGGACATTAGGATAAAATCAGGAGAACATCTGCGCATAAGCTACTAATTAGAGTAACGTACGTGACAAAACCATTGGAATCTCGAAAGCTGAAGTCAACGATTTCTCGGGATTGAACTGTAGAAGCCGAACATAAATAACCACCACTGGATCATCCTAGTCCAGTTTGATTATATTTTCCGCTATCGTGTTTAGTTTGCGGTAAAACGCACTATGTTCAGTCAATTGAGGAATCACTGGAAAGTGCTTGTTTGCTGATTTCGGCTCTGGCTTCACGTTCACCCCCCCCTTTCGTTATGCAGGAATCATCACGAACTTGAAGCAGCTAGAAACCGAAAGCACTGCATTGCAACAAGAAATGAATAACTATGTGGAGCAGTTCAACCGAATGGCCGAGCATCTGTCCAAACACACCAAATTCCATCGCACATGCAAATAGTCAACAACTCGTGGTGTGCACCCCGGGTCCGACATCAATCGTTCACAGTCGAAGAGGCTGGACCACCTCATATTCACATTCTTTTCTCATCACTTTTCCAGCTTTATTTTAACTAATCCAATTGTACACTATCAACTCTTCATTTGTATCACTCATTTGCTTGATTTGATTTCATATGCATTGCTTCGTGCGCCCATTCAATGATTTGCTTAGTCTTTTTAAATTATCTTCCACTTCGAACCCCGATCCCGGAAACAACGCCTCACTCACCCACCCGGCCGTATCTGTTTGCATCACCCTTGACCTGACCGCACAACACATGTGAATTACTTTTGCTTCGGACCACCCATCACTACTCTTCCGCTCTCTTTCTCTCTCTCTCTGTCTGTCTTTTCCAGTTCCATGCATGCAGAAGAAAGTGACCGAATTCTTTTTCTCTCTAATTGTCTATCTTTTGCCCATATTACCTCTTTGAAATGTAAGAATTTACTACACTATAGGTCTAATTCCAATTTTTCAAATATATATGTCATCTTCCATTGCTTTTGAATAGTTTCGCAACATTGTGTTTCTGCATCCACAATACAAGCAGGAGGGTACCGAAAAGATCTAGGTCTTTCTTTTACGGCACACTACACCTGTTATTTGCAGATGATGATGACGTTGACAATGCTGGTGGACACTCGGAGCTATCACATTGCTCCTTTTGCCGCGCACACACACACACACACTGAGCCTGTGCAGCACTATGACAAAGCCCTCAATAAGGAAACACAATCCAAGCGGATAAACCGAACCTCGACTCACATCTGACTGTTACTATAGGTCAAAGTGATAGAAACCTCTACCGACTTTGACAGAACAAGGGCACCGTGGGACCGTAATGAACGAGGACGTTTGTGGAGCTTAAATCGGTTAGTCATTAATTTGACCATTGTCGTTATTACGATTTACAATGGTAAATGTTAGGATTGCATTAAACAAATCAATGTATCGGTACCGGTATGGCAACAAGAATTTTCAAGATATTTTTCGGGGTGTTAAAGCTCGATAGTGCGATCCAGAAAAGATAGTTTTCTCATGAATTTGTAGCAGCAGCCTTGATCAATCAAACAATGTTTAGCAAGGGGACTATGTTAGATGTAAAAAAAACATCGTCAAAAGTCGGTATGTTATCGGTCGACCTTTACGTCTTTGAGACACGGTAGGAAGGAACAGATCAATCAATTGGCCCGTCGACCCACTCGAGCTGGAGATCATCGGGATTAAAGTTAACTTTTACGCCTTTCCTAAATGATTGAAACTAGGGGTTTTCAGTTCCCCTGGATAAACCCGTAACCCACAGCCCATTAACCCCGCTACCGTTCTGGATATTAGGCGGTTAAGCTCAATTAAAACACAACGCCTGAAAATGAATTTCATTATTTTACTCGAATATCTTTCAGAGTTTAATCAACATGAAGTGATGAGCGGAAATTTACTGTAGTGAGTTTTTCTGGTTCGACTATTTCGTTCTGCATGTATTCATCTACTTCATTCCATTGCACAGCCTATCAAGAGAATGAGTAAACAGGTTCATTGAATCACCACTCAGATAAATATTGGCTTGTCCGAGTTTTCTATAACAACTGAATGTTACAAATTACACGTGATTGGCGGAGGCACTCGGCCGCTATTTCATATGCGTGATCGCCTACNCCCCAGTGGAAGTTTTAATTCAATTCCCACCTTTGTTTACCGATCAGCGATTGGAGCATATTATCGATCTTACTCGGTCCACTGCAGATAGACAATTCCGCATTCACTTTAAATTTCAAATTTAGGATCAGAAATTCTACTTCATATTGAATTGCCGAGAACGGACGTTGTTTGCATCCTACATTTTATATTACGATTCGAAGAAGGCACAGATCTCACTGTAGATTTTTTCTATCTAATTCATAGAGTTCTTTTTGAACGTAGATTGAATTCAGCCAGTTGACACCCTCGTAACACATTTCATACGACAGATTCGGAGGTCGAAGTCCGGAGAAGAACGTGGACGTTCACTGCCCACATACTTACTATAAGGAGACAGAAACTAGAATTCATACTTTTTCATCTTCAAATGAATCTGTTGTCGCTTCCAGTAAATCAGCTGTAACTTCAGGTGAATCCAACCAATCGCATTCGATTGGGAACCGCACAAGATGATTGGTGTTTCTGCCGTAAAAAGTCACTGATTAGACCGGGTCTGTCTAAACCCCGTCCAATCCGAATCAATTAACTTAACTCCGTAAACAAACAAAAGTACGTTTTGAGTGAGTTACCGAGCAGGACGAAGGCAGAATGGCTAATCACAACGAACAAAACGACACAACACAAAATAGGGCAACGGGAGAGGATGAAAATTTCGGTTAGGTAGACTGCCCCACCCCAACCCCGAGGAACGTGATGTCCGTGATCGTTGATCGGGTGTGCGTCATAGACGCGAATGAACACACCCGGCTGTAATTGACTTCTGTCGGCCAAGGAAGGGAGCGACTCACGTCAAGATGGATTGATAAATTGGTCACCACGCTCAGGCGTAAATGTGATCATGATTCATTGCATGAATGGGTTCAGTCTATGGCCTCTATATCCTAGTAAATTCTATTGGGGTCGAGTTTCTCTCGAATAACACTGATTCCTTTCAATCAAATGCGATTGCCCACATATTTCTGACATTGAATAACACACTTGACGAGATACTTGTCATGCATAAGCTGATTGGTATGATTATTGCAGTTAGCTTTTTCCCTCGAATCCCTCGCCATACAGATCCAAGATGACTCCTTCGTCCGCTTCTGGACTATATGTTTATCTTATCTGAAGGAACAATATTTGCCGGGCACGTCATGATCTTTTGTCGCTTTTTTATACAAACCTCCAACATTGGAACAATACTTTCCGAAACTAATGGACTAAACCGCAGAGTGCACATTGCGTTTTCATGAAAATTGCATTAACAAAATAGGCTTACATAGACTGATAGCAACTAAAATAGTTCACCAGATGTTAAAGTTAACGAACTCGTTGGCTAACCCAGCGAATGGAGAAACTATGATGTATCAACCAGCTCGAAAATCTTTGAGTAACTTTTCAATCTTAGGAGAGAGAGCCCACTGAAAAACCGAGGTTGTTGATACCAAAATTGAAGCTTCAAATGAGGTTCTTCAGATCCCGTATTTCCTCGAGATTGATGGCCAGCTTAAAGTGAAAATCCTTGCCATGATGTGCGCAAATCTTGATACACACAGTAAGATCACAACTATGCGTTGTATTATAGCGTACGATTGTGTAAATTGGAAAACGGTCGGATCAGCTTATCGACGGTCAACTGGGTAGTATGTTTGCGTTCTGCTTCTGTGATCCCGGATTCAATCTTTAACGGGACATCCTCATCTCTCACATTTTTCTTGTGAGCGCAGTTTTCCTATTAGTTACAGCGACGTTTCCACGAAGTTTACTGCTGATCAAAGAGCACGAATAGAATTTTCTAATCGCTTTTCGAACGCAATGCACAACCCGCGTTCATCATTCCTTGCTGGTTGTGCTTCCAAAAAGCGATGTTACTGTTTCTTTTGGTAACGCTTTTGGACTCCAAGTACATTGTGGTGTGCTGAATTTGTGTGTGTATTTTTCACTGACTGGACTGTATTTAGACAGTTTAATTACCACCACAAAAGAGTTTATTTGCTAGCCTGAGTTCAAGTGATTTACGAATGTCTTTCATAAGGATGATGCACGTCGACCTAACCTTTTACAGGTTGAGTTTTATCCATAAACGCCGTGTCCCTGTGATAAATCTGAATTGAGAGATCAAAACAGAATTACACCATGAGGGGAACAATTTCGCATTTAGAAGAAAGTCGCTGATCTATATTAAGACAACCGTGGGTCGAAAACTGTGCTTACCTATGCCCAATATCTCTTGAAGCACCCAATACAAAGTTTTCATCCTTTGTAGAATTATAGATAAATGTAAGTTATTCTCACTACCAGACGGCTCACTCATTGAACCATGACAATCGCACAGATGTAATCAGGCTGCAAAAAGATGCAACGCGGATGATAAATGATGCAACAAGGATAATAAAATATGCGACAAAATTGAGGTAAAACGGTTAGAAACTGTAGGTGACAGGTTGGTGCCATTGACAGTGTGAATAGAATGCAATAGTTAGTGCGGGAATTACGGGGAAAAGTGTAATTTGTGTTAGCTAGTGAATGAGTTCAAATTGACTGTTACTATTCAGGTTAAATGTTGTTAATACTTTGATTGTATCCTTGCGCTATTGTCAAGTCTTCGCGCACCCTTCGATTGGCTGCGCCACGTTTGTGTTCATTCGTGCATCGGAATTTATTGCCTGGTTTCTGCTATGTTCTCGCAGCTTTCGTATCCCAGGGAATTATCACTACATTATCATTGAGCTAAAAACTTATCGTGTGCACACAAACATGTGTGTGATATGCATACAGGAATTGTGGTTAAATCGGAACATAGACGATTTGCTGATCAGCAGACCTGGTTTTGTAAATTTTTGACGAGACAGAGGAATAACATAATAACATACATTAACTCCAGTTGGTGTGGCAAGTTGTTTGTGTTTCTCCTCTTGTGGTAATGACGGTCTTACTGTTTCATGTCGACCTAGGTTTTCCCCTTATCGGAGTACAGTTATTACCAATCTATACAGTGCTCCTTCTTGCGCACAAATCGAAATTAACTCCTACGATGCATTTATTCTTTCCATTGCTCCCTTAGTCGACGATAAGTTAATTTTAATTGTTGGTGATTTTAATCATGAACCAATCCAACCTTTACTTACCTTTGTCCTATCAGATCTGTCTCTAACATCTACCAGAGGAGATACTGTATTGGACATGGTTATCACCAACCAGCTTGATATTTTCTGCCGAACCGAAGGCGCCAATCTCCGCTGATGATCACTGTCTCCTATGTCTTAGACCAAACGTTTACTCTCGGTTGGCATACCCCGCTTTTATTGAGACAAAACAATTGAACATCAAAACTGGAAATCTTTCAGCCGGCAGACTCCTCCTCAAGAAATCTGTTGCCATCATCTAGCAGAGTATGGTCTCCGCGGCTAAAAGCTCTTAGAAGACAAAAAGAACTAGCTTTCAAGATAAACTAATCAGCCTTTGTGAAACAGCGTACGCTGCAACTCAAGGCAGAGATCAAAATATTCAATGCTTCATTCGCAAAGAAAGTTCCGGGAGCTGAAGGTAGAAGACGGTTATGGCAAGGGATCGGATTGCTGTGCGGACAGCAAACAAAACCAACGAGGTGGATAGCCTTAATGTTGTATTTCTCCTTTAAATTATCTGTCTTCTCCGTATCCCACATATTATCTATCTACCGTAGACCCGGTCACCCATGGGTGGTCTATCAACCTCTTAAAACTTCAGAAATCACAATTTCAGTTGACCCCGTTGGTCTATCTTCGTCTATGCTTAAATATGGCATTCGCTCACTCACAGAGATGTTTGCGTCCCTTATTAACCGATTCAACATTACCCACGTTCAATTTCGGACTCCTGGGGACCGGTCATTGATGTACCCATTCCTAAATCATCTTCAGCTGCTATATTTATTAAACGCTTTCATCCTATTGCCATTACTTCGCCTGAACTGAAACCATTAGAATGCACTATTCTCACTCGCTTGCAGTCTGCTATTATGTTTCCAGTGACCCTCTTTAGCTTGCGTATAAACCAAATGGATTCACTTTGAATGCTATCTCTTCAATGATGCACTTTATTTCCAAATCTTAAGATGATTCTCAAAAATCCGATCATTGTGCTTTCCCTGATTATTCTTCCCCTTGTGATTCCGTTCCACGAATTTTATTCTCCGAAAGTTACAGGCATTTGGTTGAAAGACAATTTCACAGGAAGGATTCAAAGAACGAAAGCAAACGGCACTATTTCAAAACCGTTAATGAATAATTCTGGAATCCTTTAGGGTGCTGTGCTTTCTCGTTACTTATTCACATCTTTCATCAGTGACTTACTCTCAATCCCACCAGCCAAGACCTTTAAATATGCTGGTGATGTGGTCTTATATCAAGCCACTTCAAACCAATCTGACAGAATCATTTTTTGACAGTTTATTGCCAGAGCGATCATTCTCGAACCAATCCGGTCTTCAGTTGAATACTTCTAGATGCTTCGAATGCATTTTTAGTCTTTCCAGACCCGAATATCCCTTGTAACCCTCAATCATC